ATCTCTTGAATAGAGCAGTTCTAATGGCACTGTGCCATGCTTCAGCGTCTTTGAGGTGAAAAAAAATTATAAGAAATTCTCTCTGAAGCTTCCATTAGTCTTTCAAATGTTGGCAAAAATGCAGTACATTTCTGGATTTTTTTTCTCTCCCCATGTATATGAAACAACAGCTCAGAAATCAGATGTTTCTGGAGGGATACATATTGTTAGCAGGTAGTGATTGGTTTTGGCTTAGTTTGGGTTTTGGGTCTACATCCTTACTTCTTGGGGCACTATGGGAGTTACCTTTCTTAATTTTCTATGTATTTCACTGCTATAGCTGGATAGGTAAAAAGTCATCTAGTGCACTCATGGAGGCGAGGACAAAAGGATGAGCCGTGATTAAACGTGAGAAAATCAAGTTACAAGATAGGAATCAGGACAAGGCCAGACTGCACGTTCTGCTGCAAGTGGAACAAGCTCTTTCTTCTTCTTTCCAGTCTGTTACCACTTTCTGTTTCCTGGACAAACCCCATTTAGAAGGTCACGAGTAGAAATACAGAAGCAAGCAGTGCTTGCATTCAGCACTTTGAGGAAAGAGGGTGTGGGGATTGCATTGGTGCTGCATTGCTAAAATAAGACTGAAGTCTGTGTTCTGCATCACTCTTAGAAAGAAAGCCATTTTGAATAACAGCCAATATTGTTAATTATTATTATTTGTATTACTGTAGTTCTGGGAGATGACAACAGGTTTCCATGAGCTGAAGTCTGTACACATGCTTGGAGGCAGTCTCTGACCTGAGGAGTTTACAGTCCATGCAAAATAGACAGAAGAAAAGATAGGGTGTAGAGCTAATGTTTATTACTCAGCCACATAGCAGGTAAATGCAGAGCTGGGAAAGGGCATGGATTTCTTAGCCTAGAACTCCTGACTTCTGCATTATGTTACCCTCTCCTATGAGGATCACACTAAGGCAGTTATTATTGTTGCTACTGTATCTCTTCAGGCTTTTTTTACTAAGATGTAAAATACAGTGGAATTTACGGTAGAATTGTCTCCTCTAAAACTTAATAATTTAGTAGAGATGAGACTTCCTTCTGTTAGCTTTTTGTTAATTATATAGATACAGCTTACTTAGTGGGAATATCATTAAAGAACATGGAGCTCCTGTTCATGAGATTAAACTCAGCTTCCTACAGATAAATTTAGATATATCCAGTCACAAAAAGACCTCAATGATCTTTGAATGTGGCAAGAATAAAAGCTGAATGCTGTTTTTTGCTGTATCTCAAGGTCTTCATTGCCTATTTGGGGATGTACAGTAAGAAGGCAAGACTGAGGCAAATGCCAAAAGATGTTAAAGTGAATGTCACATAAAGATGTGAAGTTTTCTATCTTTTGCATGCCCATAGTACACAAGACAGAGAAAGCTACTGGTTTGTCTGAATGAATATATGATAATGATTTATGAGTTTAGGGTAAGGCATATGGGCTTTTAACACATTTTTATTAGCACTTCTAAAAATAGCATTAAAATCTGTTTATGAAGCAAAAGGACTTGGTTTAAATTGTTCTGCAGGATGACAGATCTGTTTTGTGAAGATTTGTGGGCGGAATGTTGTTAGAACTGTGGGGTTTTTTTGGTTTTGTTCCTCACTGCCCCATCTCATTATCCTTCAGCTCAGAGCTAAGTATTTGCTTTTCTATTTGGCTCTGAATATTGATCATGACTATTAAGCTGTTGTTGCTTTTAAAATAAACTTTAATTCTACCTCTCACACTAAAGCCTTAGCTTGAAGGTCATTTTACACAGTTGGCAAGAGTTGCCAAAGAACTGTAGTAGGAATGGTAATGAGGCTTTGTCTGTTGGGGTTTTGGGGATTTGGTTTGGTTTTTTATAACAGTCTGATGTTTCATGTTGGATCCGGTGGTTGGAATATCTGTTATACATACATTTTTGTCTACATCAGGAAGTGTTCTTACACATAAAATGCTTAACAAGCAAATAATAACCCATCCCTGCCCCATCCATGGAAGTGTTCAAGGCCAGCCTGAATGGGGCTCTGAGCTTTCCTCGCCTAGTGGAAAGTGTCCATGCCCATGGCAGGGGGATTGGAACTAGGTGACCTTTAAGGTCCCTTCTAGCCCATACATTCTGTCATTCTATGAATAACTGTCTCTTTTTTTATATTAATGTTGCAATTACCCCCATTCTCTTTTTCTAGAGCCAAGGTTGTGAAGAAGCTACTGAAGAATGCAGCACAAGAATTAATGAACAGGCCAGTTATGCTGTTAATAAACTTCGCCAACTAAATGACAAGCTTGAGT